TCTCTCTCTCTCTCTCTCTCTCTCTCTCTCTCCTCTCTCTCTCTCTCTCTCTCTCTCTCTCTCTCTCTCCTCTCTCTCTCTCTCTCTCTCTCTCTCTCTCTCTCTCTCTCTCTCTCTCTCTCTCTCTCTCTCTCTCTCTCTCTCTCTCTCTCTCTCTCTCTCTCTCTCTCTCTCTTTCTCTCTCCCTCCCCAATAGCCAGTTTCCCCTCAGTGGTATAATTTCCATTTCGGTTGGAAAGGCTTCAGCCCAAACTTGGGCTTCAGCCCCCCCCCCCCCATTTTTTCAGAAGGAAGTGAAACAAATCCAGAATGAAATCCTCTTGTTGGTTTTAGGCTGCGTCAGTGCTCCATGCTTGACCCTTTCCGCTCATTTTGCGAGACTACGCCGCTCGTTTCCCCGCACTTAAGTCCTCTCATACAACCCACTCTACACCAGCACTAAAGCCCTCTCGTACGCATCACTCTACACCTGCACTAAAGCCCTCTCGTACACATCACTCTATACCTGCACTAAACCCCTCTCGTACACATCACTCTATACCTGCACTAAAGCGCTCTCGTACGCATCACTCCACAGCCGAGCGGTCAGTCGGCTCAGATAAATGCCCTCCAGCGTGCAGATGACTGGAAAATTTTTCAACAATCTTCCAGCTGCACGTTGTTGTTTTTACACAACCGCTCTACCACTTCCTCATTTCAGTGGCTTTTTAACTCTTTTCCTTGCGAGAAGAAGCGTTATGTCAGATTCTGGGCTAACCAGCTTTTGTGGCGAAATTACGTCTACTTTAGGCTAAGGCCATCTTCGGGTGCACTCCATTGTGACCTGTTCAGGATGTGTAAGGCCATCTCAGGGTGCACTCCATTCATGGCCTGTTCGATCACACACCGGTTGCCAGGGCAGCACAGGTTGCCAGGGCAGGGCAGCAGGAGAGCCGTGTCGGCCTCTCGCAACGTTCCGGCGTCAGCCGGCGCTCGGTACGAATCCTTGTTGTCACCTGGTACGCAGAAGATGACAATTTCCGCCGTGCAGCAGATCCCCTGAGGGCTGTTCCACATTTAGATGAGATGTTGACCTGGGGTAGCTATTGTTAGACCATTTCCTGCAGTTCATAGCGATGGCCTTAGTATGGCGCGAGCGGACTTGTGCAAACTTTTCGCGCCGCCTACTTTGGAGTCACCCGGAGATGTATGACGTCATAGAAACATCACACGAATTCCATCTCCTCAATGGCCATGTTGTGTTCAAGGTCAAGCCAATGTCATCATTGATTTGTCTGGAGAACGTCCGCACGAACATCCACATAAACAGGTAGCAGTTAGCTTACCACCAACTTAAGGAGTGAAATGCAGTTCTCGGTCAGGAGCCGCGTTTTATGATACACAATAAAAAATATTTGGCAGTCTTTAGTTCTGACAGACATGAGATTGTAAATCGGACAACGTAAGAAGAACGCCGTAGCTAAATATGCGACATGCGAATGCGAATAAAAAGGTAAAAACAAGGCCTAATATACAAGAATACAACGAGATAAAGTGAATATACGCGCACATAACGGATATTATCACGCGCGCTTAAATTAGTCAGTCATCACCTGGAGCAGTCTTTGGCACTTAAAGGTACACCAGTAGTTGGAGGGGGAATTTTCCATCTGATTCTTGCTTCAGTATCTTCAAATGTGGATTAGCAATGCTTCCTCACAAGTCCCCCCCATCCACTCATTCCGGCGCAATCTCGTTACTGGGGAGCCAGGCAGGAATCCTCAGCACCAACTTGCACAAGGCGGTCGCACATCGCTGGGTGCTGCCCGGTGCAAAAGACAGCGGTGCTCAGTAAACAAACTGCTGGGTCGGTGCTCCAGTGCGGACCGGCTTAAATTTTGGAGATACTCCAAGTTGGGGCAGGCGCGCGACCTGCTATAGACTTAGACTATGCGAGGTATATCTTCCTTTAGAGCCGGAACACACGGAACCGAGGTTTAACCAAAGTATCACCGTGCCTGTTCAACTGTTGCTTGCTTTTTCTAAGCCCATCGCCGAACTGGAACAACGCCAAAGGCGTGCCAACTAGAATACTTATTTTTATGCATAGTTACATATACTAACGGAATGGCTTGGATCAGGTTTGATTCTCCTTCAGTAACTCCGCCCAGAAAGTTGCTTCGGTATGCCACAAACGACGTATGCAGTCTGCTCTCTTTATAGTAACTAATCTCTGTCCTGATTATCCGACCTGAGGTCACATCTTGACACTTAACCTTCGAAGACAATGAAACGTTTTTTAATGGCTTTCTGTGGTGATTGGTGGCGACTTTTTCCAGTTTAGTACACTTCACGGAATCTAATTTGTTCATATTGACCATTCTCGATCCTAGTTCCCTAACCTAGGGTTGAATTCTGACCTTTTTGACCTTGGTTAGTCTCGGTAATAGTGACGAAAGTTAAAGTTCGAAAAAGTATGCAGACATTTCACATTTACCTTAGATAATGACTTGGGCAGTGCAGGTAAATCCCCATTTTTGAAGTATTCTTATTATGCACTGAACGCTCATGTCAAATATTTACGTGTTTCACTACAAGTCGAAACTAGAGAACCGTTCAAGGTGGGCGCTTTTACATTTCCTTGAATAATTCATCTCAGGTTGACCTGACCCAGCTCTAAGAATTTTGGTATAATACCAAAATATCTAAAGCCAGTTAGTGCTCTGTTTATCAAGACGAGGGCAAGCTTAATCTCATTAATTTGGTTAACTTCTTTTAGATTAAGACACTGGGGGTGTCATGCTGACACCTGCCAGCAGTAAGCGATTTAACCGCACCCCTGACGGGTGACGTTCAGGTATGCGGCTCCATTTTCGTAGAACACATCACGTCCTGAGGCGATGCTGGGATGTTGAGTAGCTGACAAAGATCTCGGACGTGCAGCCCTTATAATGTCTTAAGGCCTACATTGTCCTGTGTCTTTGCTAAAGCGTCTACTTTGAAGCTGTTCTTCGTTGCTCCTGTTGCTTTTTTACAACATAATAGGTCATGCGACCAAAAAGCAAGATTTGAGGGCCCTCTCGCTGACATAAAGTTATCCTGATGCGCTCGGGCCCTAAGACAGCTCAGAAGCATTAACATATAACAGCGGCGTGGACCTTCCTTGGCTTGAGAAGCGGCTCATTGATAAAACAAATTTACTCTTCCAGGGAAAGTAAGATGTGCAACACATGTTACAGAACATTCAATTAAAGCATGTTATTCTTCCAATGAAAAAAAAATGAAGCACATTTTTTAGTAAAGTCAACTTCCTTCACAACCGCCGGCTTCTGGCCCTCCCACGGAGTTCGCCAGGCGACAAAATGCATGCACCTTCGCTGCTGTATCGGCCCGGTACACAATGACATCCGCCTAGAAACAGTTCATAACAACACATCCGGCGGAGTGCGCATCCACCTGTACCGCACCTCGGCGACACTGCTCGCATGGTCGCGTTGTCTCCCAGCGCAGTGCACCAGATTAGTGCCGCGCCGCTCTCGTCGCCCGCTCGCTGGTGCGCCACTCACGCCAGCTGATTACCGGAGCGCCGAGCACGGCGCATAATTGGACCGGTACTCTCGAGGCTGCCGAAGAGATGGGGCGGCCGCTTCCAGTTGGCGGAACTGCCGCAGCTCTGCCGCTTGGAGTACGTTGTTAGCAGGTGTTGCGCCATACGCCGGCTTCGGCCGAGCTGGCGGATACAGAGTAATGAGAACATCTCAGGCGCGATCAGTGAATCCAACCGCGATTAGAAGTACGGAAGCAGGCATATCCGTGGCATGCACGCTGATTTCTGCTACAGGCTGCTTTTGCCTATCCTTAGAAGAACCAGCACCGAGCCGCCCCAACATTGAGCCCCTCCAGCACTGGGCCGCTCCTACACCCCCCCCCCCCCCCCCCTCCAATGCTGAGCCGCTTCTACACTGAGCCGCTCCAGCGCTGAGCCGCTCCTACACCAAACCCCTCCTACACTGAGCCGCTTCTACACTGAGCCGCTCCAGCGCTGAGCCGCTCCTACACCAAACCCCTCCTGCACTGAGCCACTTCTACACTGAGCTGCTCCAGCGCTAATCTGCTCCTACCCTGAGCTGCTCCAGCGCTAATCTGCTCCTACCCTGAGCTGCTCCAGCGCTAATCTGCTCCTACCCTGAGCCGCTCCGTCATTGACCCACTCCTACAATGAGGCGCTCCCACGCCGACCGGCTCTCGCACGTTCAGTCTGGGAAATTTGTTACAATGATATTTGCAAGTGGTATGCAGCACATCGACACGCAACAGATATTTGCAAGGCTTAGAACTGTTGTAAGGCATCAGCACTGAGATGTCACGCCCACGCCGTGAAGCATCGCGACTGGTGTTAGTGTTTCTCTCCCATATCTCAAAGTTGAAGCAAAATGCTTGCTGTTATATTGCAGCTTAAATATAAAGGTGTTAAGACAAGACAAGATTGACGCTTCTCGTCCATGTTTCGGAGCCAGGTGTCATAACTTTCGATACATGTCCCTCGAGCAAATTTTCTGATATCCAGGGATTTTGGACGGGTGCTACCACCTCGACATTGACGTGCGTTCGTCACGTTGGAACGCCAATCACAGGGCGAATGCCACTGACCCATGACATATTCCAACAACTCACGGACAGCAAGCGCGGCTGAACATAATCAAGGAGCGGACACCCCTGCCGTAGCCACGGCACCCAGGCACCCCTCCGCTTCCCTCTCGCCCGGCTCTCGCACGTGAGTGACGTCATCGTCGGGCGCTCGCCGTCTGACGTCAGCGGCTGGCCGGCAGGTGGCGCCTCCGTCCCGCGATCGAACCTGACGCCGGCGCGCTTGCCGCCGCCGCCGCCGCCGCCGCCGAGGCCGGCCCGGGCACCAGTTGCTGTCTGGACCCGACTTGTTGCTCGCGCCGACGCGGCGGCGGCGGCGGCGGCGGCGGCGGCGGCGCCATGTTCAAACTGGGCGGCAGCCGCCCGGATGGCAACCCCCTCCTGCACCTGTACGAGATGGGCAAGCAGGTGGCCACCGGCGGCCCCGAGGGCGTTTGGAAGATCTACGAGGGCCACAGGAAGAGCGACGGCAAGGTGAGTCGGACGCAGTCTGGGAAGCCTCCAGCAGTGTCGGCAAGGTAGGTCGACCGAGATCTGGGGGGCCTCCAGTAGTGTCGGCAAGGTAGGTCGACCGAGATCTGGGGGGCCTCCAGCAGTGTCGGCAAGGTAGGTCGACCGCGTTCTGGGGAGCCTCCAGCAGTGTCGGCAAGGCAGGTCGACCGAGATCTGGGCAGCCTCCAGCAGTGTCGGCAAAGGTAGGTCGACCGAGATCTGGGTAGCCTCTAGCAGTGTCGGCAAGGTAGGTCGACCGCGCTCTGGGTAGCCTCTAGCAGTGTCGGCAAGGCAGGTCGACCGAGATCTGGAGGGCCTCCAGCAGTGTCGGCGAGGTAGGTCAACCGAGATCTGGGGGGCCTCCAGCAGTGTCGGTAAGGTAGGTCGACCGCGCTCTGGGTAGCCTCTAGCAGTGTCGGCAAGGCAGGTCGACCGAGATCTGGAGGGCCTCCAGCAGTGTCGGTAAGGTAGGTCGACCGCGCTCTGGGTAGCCTCTAGCAGTGTCGGCAAGGTAGGTCGACCGAGATCTGGGGGGCCTCCAGCAGTGTCGGCGAGGTAGGTCGACCGAGATCTGGGGAGTGTCTAGCAGTGTCGGCGAGGTAGGTCAACCGAGATCTGGGGGGCCTCCAGCAGTGTCGGCGAGGTAGGTCGACCGATATCTGGGGAGTGTCTAGCAATGCCAGCATGTCAACGACACATTTCCACCCATTCAAATTTGTTTAAGGACTACAAATCGATACATGATTGGCGTTGAAGGGTTTCCTCTTTGAAATTGGGATGTTTTGCGTTGGGGATTATTCATGATGGTACAAACTCACTTCAAAACTGTATCTGTGCGCTGGTCCGGGCAGCTTCGCCTGTGGCATTAGCTCCCTCGACGCCCATCAACGCCACTATGAAAATGCCGGCAGAGAAACCAGTGGAGACCCTTGAAGATATTGGTGCTATGTGGATATTGGTATCAACGCGTTGGAATGGCGTGCTTCCACAAGCCTGCCAGGTGAAGGTGCCCGTGTTTGGCGTTCATTGCTAGATATCCATGGCTGGAAAATTGGTTGGCTTTTTTGACCCACCGAAGCCTAGCAATTTTGATCGACGAGTCGGATTGATTTGGAATAGTCTATGTGTTTGATGGCAGTGGCCATACACAGTGTTTCAAAAGACAGTCTTTAACGTGGATATTGATAACGATAAGAATGAGTACTTGATTATGTAGACATTATGGCCCGACCTGCTTCGGATAGGATCGGACCGGATCGGATCGGATCATGCCTCTGACTGTTTTCTTCAAGTCGGTTTCGGAATAGATGGCATTGGTGGCTTCCAGACATGGTAATGGTGCGCGTGTGAATCGGGTAACATTGTATTCGCCCAGTGACTTCTAGTGGCGCGTCGCCTCCGTCGTATCGCTGTCTTTACGTCCCCAACCACTCCGGTTTCCGATGCCTGACATCAGTCCGGCAAGCAGGCGAATCCATGGTTTCCGCTCCATAACGCGTGGAGGTTCATACACATTGACCCAAACTTTTGCCAAGACGATTCTCTGTTTGGTTTCCGTAATTTTAAGTTATCTCATCTTGCTGCTGCACCTGGTAGCCAAGATCTTGACTTGCCACCGGCTTGCTGTCGTCCGCTTCTTCACAATTTTAAATCTAACGTTTCCTCATCAATGAAATGCGGAGATGAATTAGTCGTGGTATTGCAGCCCTTCAGAAATACGCGGCCTTATCAAACCACCTGCAAGAGAGTGTTATGAAAATCCTGCGCCACAACTCTTGAATAATTGTGCTACATATTACTGAAAAATTAACTGCAGCGCTATCTTTGACTGCAAAGATATAAGCTTGCCAAAGGCCCCGCCAGTCCCGTGGGGCCGCGGTGGACCAGGCCACTGACGCTATCAAATTTCCGGTGTGATGGCGTTAAATTCGCTCGTTATGGTTCCTCGCCCCCAGTATCACGTATACGAATGTAAACAGTGCATAGAGAACCTAGGCGAACAGTGTTGTATATTTGGGAAATGGCGGACCTACCGGAAATCAGCGTAATCCAATGAAAACCAGCCCTCGACCTGGGAAACAAGATCGACTGGCGCCCTTTGACAGATTTGGATATAAAGTATGCTGAAGCAGCTTGCATCTACCGTGATTCTCGAACTGCACATATTGCCTTGGCTGAAGTGGACAGGGATGACATAGTGATGTTAAGATTAATGGGACGCTTTTCCTGGAATGGATCGAATTACAATTCTCCCCAACCAAACAGAAAAACTCTTAACACCAGCTATAAAATGCGTGCTCGCACCTCTTGTTATGCACGGGATTATGCAAGCAAGTGAAAGATCTGGAGAGACGTTCTACTCAGCGATTATATTTGGGAAACGCAAGTAATCAAATCACATACTTAAACTCCCAATATCTCGCACGCGCCTTCACGGACTGTTGGGGCTGCCTGCGCGGCCATCTTTCTTGACGTGGACATGATTTGGCTGCATTTCAATTGCCCGCGAGGCCCCGTACTCCACCTGGGTGGCATCCCCCGCCGTCTGGAAACACCCGGCCCAGAGCACTTCCCTCACGGGCCAGATCGGCGGCGGTGGGTGCTGTCTACAGACGACCGCGATCTGGCGTGCGCCACCCGAACGAGCGGCATCTTTTTAGAACGGAGCGGCGCTGTCGAAAACCACAGCATGCCCGTGCGTGGACGAAGGGAAGCGAGAATAATGCGGGCTGGGGCCGCACGTAGTTTGGGAGCAGTACGAGGACGCAGGACCTTGAGCTGTCGGCGGGCTTGGAGAGTGGGTTACCCCCAACGTCGACATTGAGGCGGGGGGGGGGGGGGGGGACGTGGCGCACTCAGAGATGCGAAGCTCCACAAATGAATACCTTCCATTCCCGCGCTACATATTTTTTTAACTAAATGTATGCGGAACGGTATGCATGAGTAGCTTTCAGCTCAGGGTGCTTTGGTAAGCAAGCCTTATTCTAAGCAGCCTGAAACTGCTACGTAAGCTGCGCTACCCAGTTCAACGAATAATCTAGCCCCCGCCCTTTCGCCACACAGGATAGTGTGAGGTGTGCAGTTGGCGCTCGTGGGTCAGCCTCTAGCTGACCTGAGTCGTGCCAAACAATGCGCTCGCTCGTCGTCGTGTCCAGAGCTGCTGGATAATCGGTCTGGCAACTTTCACGCAGGCTACAGAGGCAAAGACGTCAAGCGCTCGCTATGCAATATTGCTTTGTATTACACGGAAGGACATTTTAATAATAGATAATGCATGAGTTCTGCTGCCCACCGGTTTTTCTTTTTGGTGACTGAGAAGATGCGTGAATCAGTTCATATATTTGAGGCGGTATATGTATTTATAGATTTTAAATCAAGTCAAGTCTACTGGGACCGGCTGCGGCCAATAAATTCATACGAAAGACCAAGAGGTTGCCCAAAATATTTATTGTTCTATCTTCATGGCATCTCTTAAGCACAACTACTTTCGGTGAGATTGCTGCATGGTGAAAAATCAGATTGTTCCCTGATGGCGGAACGAAATACTGCAACAAAGGTGCGAAATGACGTGTCAGCAGGCCAAAAATTGTGAGCAACTATGCTGCTGGTCTTTTGATTGGTTGGTGTTTATTTACGGCTATAAGCATGAAACAGTAGATGGCATGAGTGGGTTGATACATAGACGGAACGGTGTAATCTAAGCGCCTCCGCTAACAATAACAAACTATAGTCATCACCGTCAGGGAACCCGCGACCCACCGCCCGCTCGTCCGATCCGTAAGCTGAGACGGGCCAGGCGTCCGCCGCCGCTCAGGTTTACACATGAGCCGTCTCCGGCCGGCGGTGGACGCCCGGCACTGTAATGTCACTCAGCCACCCGTCTGCTGCCCGCGCCCGCTGGAATTTTTTTGGCGAACCGTTTGACTTTACATAACGATACTGGGGAAATGTCTGCTGTCTGCTGCCCGGTGCGACTTTGCAGCCTGCTACCTCTGAGATAGATTCTGGGTTGCTCGTTGTGAGTGAGCTCAGACAAGTTTGGAATGATGCGATCTGTTTTAAGTAGCATTGCAATTCTGACTTCATGATAGCGAAGACAGGTCAATGCAAAGTGTTTAAAAACCTTCATATGGATAGCCTCACAAGAGGAACTAGCTGAAATTGGATATCAAATTGAAAACATGTGAGCATTAAGGTCTGCCATCCCCAATCTCAGCCTAGTGCTTTGTTTGCACATATAGCCGTCTCGGGCCGGCGAAAGACGCCCGGTCCGGTAAGGCCACTTAGTCACCCGTCTGCTGCCTGTGCCCGCTAAAAGTTTTGCTGCAAACAGCCGGTTTCCAACAATCCGCTATTGTTTGTCTTGCCATGGATGAAACGATTTGCTAGCTCTGGGTGGATAGTTAAAGATATTCGCGTCAAATCCAGCACCATTTTCAATATAAAACCGTACATTTCATGGCTCAGTGTGTGAATAAAAGACGTGGTGTTACAATGAACTACAGGAGTTTTCATTCCCCCAACTACCCAGCTGGAGCGCAATATTTTAGGACAATATTTCCAACAGCAAACAACAGCTCCTTTATGCCGTTCCGAACTCCAAACGGATTCTGACAGACTTCGGTGGCCAGCTGCCGAGAAAAAAACCGTAACGCGAGGAGGTGTGGCCCGATAGCATTCTGCTGCTTAAGAAGCTCTCCGATACTTTACGCAGTCGTATCACGTGGACAGTTGGCATGACCCACGGGAGACTGTCTTGTAGTCCGGCACTTCAGACTGTGGATTGTACCCCAGAATATGTTCTAGACTTCCAGGCGTTGTCGGCTCTGTCGAGTGGTGGGCGCGGTGACACCGTCGGAAGCAGCTGTCCTTTGCAAACGCGGGCGATCTGCTTCAGGTGCGCAAGGTAGGCTGCCGTCTCCATCTGAGGCTTGTGCGTGCTGTTAACATAGCGTGAAACCTTAACCTGAGCCGCCAGAACT